CCGGCCGTATCCACCGCTGCTCTGAGGACGTCAGGGCCAGCAGTGATGGGAAAGCATCGCTCCCGCCCGGAAATCCCATCAAGTACGGCGGTTGCCGCGCGGCTTGAAGGGGAACACTGAAGCTTTTCAGATCTTTTCTTGGCGACGCGGCCGCGGTCCCGAGGGGGAGGTGAGGTCATTGCAAGCGGGGCTGGCAGAGCCCCACGCCCGCCACACAAAAGCAGGGAAGGAGTCACCTCCTCTTCTCCCTCCTCTGGGAGAAAATAAGCACTGATCTAATTGATTGCACAGGGCTCCAGTCGTCAGTAAGCGTAAAAAGACTTCTCTTCCCAAGCCAACTGAGCAACCCGAACAGCAAAAAAAGAGAAGGAAGTGAAAAAATACAGTGGCCAACTTCCAGCTGCTCATCACCAGGAGGAAAAACTCCACAGCCTGAATTTTATTTTGTGTGCATCTCTCATAAAACAATACTTAGGAGAGAGATAAAAAGGTAAACCCAAGAAATACACTCGATGGCACAAGCTATACTGTGTACAGTGAAAACGTCAGGCGTTGTTCTCACACTAGTATCAATGTGCTGCATAGCAACAAGTCAGAATGAAAGGTTAACGGTAAGGACCGCAGCCTGGAACACGCTCATTCCCACGGTCCCGAAGTCACCAAAGGAAAACGCCGCGCCGATTTGTTTTGTTAATAGCACGAAGGCTAAAAAAGAGTGGTGGGCTTTAATGTGGAAACCCACCCCATCTGAACCGGCTGTGCTGGAGGGATGGCACCAAGCACCATATGCTGCCTGCCAGAGTTTCAGAAACTCTGTGTTGGCTCTGATCTGCCTGACAGGATTTAGGGAAAAACAGTTGTATTTCACCAGGGCTACAGCAATGAACCTCACCCAGTTAAACAGATTCTAGGTTTAGACTCACCAGGCTGTACACTGCTTAGACAGTAACACCTCTACCCTTGCAAACGTGTCTTCTGTTATCTTGCTAACATTTAAAAGCTTTTTACTACGTGTAAATATAACCGTGTATTTTCCACAATAGAATCCCACAGTTACACATTAGGTAATAGTAATCTCAGAGTCACATAATTGTAGTGAAATCAAGCGAGAGATTTGTAAAAGGCAAAAGCAGTCTTCTGAACCACACTTTCTACTCTCTATGACCGTGCACATGAGGAAAAATACGACCAGGAAAACAGCATTACATTTAAGTCCACTTGAATTAACCAAATTTCATAGATTGATACACAAATATGCAAAGAAAGGCAATTGTTTACCAGGAGAAATTGTCTCCAGGCTCCCAGGATTAATCTTCCTCGTGCTTGTGCAGTGTTGGACAGTCGACCCAGTGAAGACCAAGTAAAAAACTACATCATCTTCAACTTTATCTTCCTCAGTCAGCTGCACTGTAATTACAGAGTCACCCTAGGAAAAAGGACAGGAAGGTTAGGTTTACATTTGCAAGAACTGCATTACATAAAATAAAACTTCTCTACGTCCAAGGCTCCTGCTTCCCGTTCACGCACTCCTTTCACACGACTCAGGGCCCATCCTAATTTTCAGATATGCAAGTCATCCTCAGCATGCCTCTTAGCATCACAGCCAGCCAAGCAGCTGGAAAATATGTCAAGCGCAGCTCTGGGAAGAGATAGGCGGAAATCTCAAGGGTATATGCAAAACAGCGACTTAATATGATGAAATCATGCCAAGTCTGACAAACATCAGCACGCACCCACACTGGGTTTTTTAATACACACACACACAGCTAAAACAACGGAATTGGGATAGCACACTAAAATTGCCTCTATCATAAACTTGAACAAATTCTTGCTCGAGCGTTCACATTTTCCCCATCCAAGCTAGCCACTGTGTTGATAGTTCCAGTGTAACCAACTTAATCACTGAACACATCTCTCATCCACAATCCCTAAACAAAGATAGGAAAGTTTCCTATCCAATGAGATTTTTTTCCACCTTCCTTAAAAGAAACCTCAATAATCATGGCTGTACAGATGGCGGCAGCTCTTCTCATCTGTAAGCTCATGCCTTGGTGAAAAGCTCTGTACACTATCAAAACCAGCAGTTTTTCAAGCACTGAACAGAAATCTGTGGTGATTTGTTGGCTCAATGCTCCTGCTTAGCTTCAGGGAGGCTTTGTTTCAGTATCTCACTATCTTCTATCACTTTGCTCATCTTTGCTATCAACAAAAATTATATTTATAAAGGGCACACGTGTTATCATAGTTAACCCAGCACAGGACACGGTAAATACACCTGCACCTCATACACCTGCAGAGACAACAGCAGGAGCGATATCCATCAACTTCAGTTTTCCATGGGGAAGGGAAAGCAAGGAAAGAGGATGGCTTGCCGTCACTGCAGCACTAAGTGAAGCACGTTCATTTGATCTCACCATACATCATTTATCTGCCTGAAGAAGTAGATAAACTATGAGACACTGAGAACAACAGACGGTGAAGTGACCTTCTGCCCCTTTTCTATCAAGATCAAAACCAGTTGGATGCCCCAGTTCTACACTGCAGCTGCATTAGTCAGCTCTGCCATCACCCCATTGAGCATATGGTTAGAACTGCAAATCTGGAAAAGATTTTATTATTATTATTGTTATTTTTGCAGATTATGTAATTCTAATTTGCATATTAATAGAATACACATGTCATTTCATTTAAAACCTTCTTAAGATCATTCAGTTCATCCCTTCCCTTTGTCAAATACAACTATTGCAGAAAAATCCCAGCCTTCCTTCAAGCCCTCCCGTACACCCGTGCTGTGTAAGCATCGTTTCCCACGCTCTGTCTCACATCTCCCCCTGTTCTCCCTCATTCCAGCTCCTTTTACATCCCAGCACAGTTTCCTTCTCCTAAGTTCATGGCCAGTTCTCCTCCTCTGATCTGGCCTGTCTGGTACCTCTTGCCAGGGGCAGAACTGCACCTTGTTTTGATAGAAACAAGGTTTTGCAGTACAGAACCCAACCAGCCCCTGGTCTTAAAAAAAACCATACGGGTCAGTCTTACGACACATGGGAAAGAAACCCATGAATTCAGAAAGATAAATGGAGTCCTGAGTATAGCTTGCATTTTCAGAGGTTGCAGAGTTACAAATGTTCATTTTAGGAAGGTCTCATGTGATAATACCAGACCAGACTTCCAGCTGGGGATGAAGGAACCATGCAGCAAAAGTACATATTGTATACAGTCAGTGTTAAAATAAAAACAGGTGCAAAAAGAAATAAATCAAGTTTTAAATTCAAGCATGACCAGTTCACATGCTGAGTTGAAAACTAAATATTCCATTTCAAGCAAATGGATCCAGTTTTAAGTGGATGTTCAAAAAACCAAAAGCTGGAGTTTTAACCTACAAACCCTTTGTGCTTTGATTTTTATATCCATCTTTGTTCAAATTGATCCTCCCTTATGGAATAAACATACAAAATACTTAAAGGGACTTAACATGCAGGTGACATTTCACAACACTCATCAACAGAGCTGACTGTTTACAGTGGTATCTGTTAAAGGATTTTTTTTTTTTATTTAACTCAGAAATCAAGTACAGCTGGTCTGATTCATGTGAAAGGAAAGTAAACCTGCACAGAGCCCACGTGAGAAGACACCTGTCTATCCATGTGAAAGTCACTTGCATTTCAAGGAAAAGCAATTTAATTTGCAGCATCATTGCAAAAGCTAATTTGTACACTTAGTTATTGACAAAAAATATAAAAATAAACATAACAAGGCTCAACACCAGAGGTTCCACATAACCTGAAATCTGGCAAGCTTGGACTTCAATAAAGATAACTGAACTTCTCATATGGGTACCTGAACTTTATGTGTGGAGCAGTCTGACTTAATTTTGAAAGTGGCCTTGTTTTGGGAGGTGGTTAGACCAGATGACCTTCATCAGTCCTATCCAATCAAAATTATTATATTTATATTTAAATGCAGTTCTTGTTTAAGTCTAGGGGAAGACAAATTATCATCAGCTGATATCAATTTAAAAGGCTCTTCAGCTGTGTCTAAGTAGCACTTTATGGTGGGACAGTCTCCACCGCCCTGCTCCCTTCTCCTCCTCCTCTTCTGGAGGATCCTCCAGCAAAAGACTGAAGGGGAATGCCCAATATCCTTAACATAACTGAACATTTTATTTTTTTCTCTGATTGAAATTTTAAGTTGTCTCCAGATATCTTCAGCAAGATTGATAACATGCCACTTAACTGCTGTGTGCTTCAGTTTACTTACAGGTGTCTTCTGAGCTATCTATTAGCTGAACATGGTACAGCTCACTGGGCATGATGTGATCCAAGATCCCAAAGGAAAAAAGCACTAAATAAGAAAGACTATCCTCCTTCAATGCCCATCTCTATTTCTCAGTTATTAACAATTTCATTGTCCACTGCCAAATTTCCTTTGATTTTTAAAAGTTACATTGAAACAACATATTTCTTTTCAAATGAACAACGCACACAACAAGCCCCTCTCTTTCAAACATTTTTGAAGTCAAAGAAAATCGGTTACAAATGCAGCCAAATTCCTCCAGCCCACATAGAAGACTTTCCAACAGCACTATAGCATTCAGCCTCCAAAAACATTTTAATTGAAGTATGTTTACCTTTATTCATTTAATATTGTACAAAAAATGTCATCTGTTCAGTATCACTGCCACACAAGGTGGTTATTATAACCTCTCTTTCATCCCAAATGGCTAGAAACGGGAGGCCAGCCTGCCAATATCCCTTTGGTGAAAGTACAGACAGATCAAAGTCATTCTCTGGAATGCTCCAACAAACAAGAATAATTTAATTTCAAAACTAGTTTGGATTGACTAATATTTACTTGGCTTAAAGCCCATTGGAAATGAAAACATTCCATTTTGGTCCATTCATGAAAGAGGTTGCCATCTCCCTCGTTCGGATCTGAAATCTCTGGTTTCAGATAGCTGTAACGGGATGTAAAGGACATGGATGTGGCTCTTTCCTCTAAAAACTGAAGGGCAGAAGCAGGTGGTCTGCCTCACAAGGGATGGGTCTAAAGCCCTGACCTTGGGCTTTAAACTCCTACAAAACAATTCCGAAAGCGATTTTAGCATGGCACATCTCTGAACCTTTGCCTCAGTTAAGACGGGAGAAATGTAATTATCTCTAAAAAGACCCAAATGCTTTTACTGGGTCTAAAAAACAGTGCCAGATACGCAACGCACCTGTTTGTCAGCATATTTTGTTGGCATTAGGGCAACTCCACCTTTTTAGGTATTTGTTTTTCCAATGCTGCAGCTACAGAGGTACGGAGATTGTGCGTCGGCAAAGTACGAGCAACTCTGAGTAATCATTTCTTCTTTCTCAGACTTGGTTTCTGTGTCTTGAAAGGGGAATTATTTACCTTCAAATTACTTTTTTTTTAAAAACAGATGACTTCAGCAGTATTTGGAAGTGACAATGAAGTAAACAAAATCTTTTAAGCTCAAAAGAATTAGGATCGCTTATGTTATTAACTAAAAAATACTATCCACTTTCCAAAAAGAAATAACTGTTTTAAGCATGTAAAGGCATCTTTCTTTTCCACTTCATGCTCTGCAAATCCGTCTGTTTTTGGCGAATCATAGAGGATCCTTTACAGTGGGACTTCAAAGACAGCCCCAGGAAACTCAGCATTCAAGACCTCCAGATGAAAACCATGAGTTTAGCTGGGAAAGGTGAGTTTTCGCTGAGGGTTATCAGCCCTATGAGCAATAGGTACATTTCTCTATAATAGACTAAGCTGGCTAACAAAATTTAAAGTTTCTTTAAAAAAAAGAAAAAGCAAGCCAAGAAGTACTTTTATAGCTGAAGCATGTGATTTCTAAACTGGTTTTCCCCCCATGGTTCAATTTTGAAATATGTTATCTAACCCACTAACCACCCACTCTGACCTCCCCACACACAGAGTCTAAAAATACTTATGAAAATGAAGCGTGTGTTAGATAGCAACTAACTGAAGCTGAAGCACTCAAGCATTACTTTAGCATTCTGCTTTTAATAAGAAAACACTAGCAACTAGTAATCCTGAATTTGTTCTACATAGAAAAGCAAAGTTGCTGATGATGACCATTACCATCTCCAGCTGTTTTTTTCATGCAGGTAAAGCCTGGCCAGTGATGGAAAGTCCATGTGTTAGATGGCTTAGAGACTCACATAGAAGGAAGGAAACCTTCCTCCCAATATATTTTCTTCTAAAGAGCTGTTGTACACGTCTGTGTGATGATGCTTGATTAAAGAGGCTGAATTAGGCACCGGATTAGATGAGTAAATGTAAACTGCCACTGTAACAAGTTTTGTTTTGCTTCCGCTATTCATAACATGAATCAGACCCTTGTTGGGTCATTGCTTATTGCATTATGTTGGGAGGCAAAAGAAGAAATATGCTTTTGAAACAGATTTTTTTTCTCCCCTTCAGGAAGCTCTAAATAGCTCCTAAGAGAGCGGCACTATGCACAGGAGGATAGCACAAAATCACAGATGTGGTTTCTTTCTCCTCCTTAAAGGTACCAATGAGCCTGAATTCCTTGATTTGTTCAATTTTAGATGGAGTTGGACTTGTTACTCCAGCTACTGTTTGACACAGAGTATGCAGGATCGGGCTGTAATTACAGCAGGAGGCAAGTCCTTTCACATCCCTGTGCTTTGAGTTTCCCTGTCAATGAAATGGGAATCGTTGTTCAAGTGCACTGAGTGTTTTTCATCTAAATTGCTTTTAAAGGAAAAGCTGGCTTTTCAATCATATCACATTTTCTTTGGAAAGTGCGCAGGACCAACAATAATTAAGTTAGACAAAAATCAAAGGGAAAGTTGAGATAATTCCACCTCAAATTGAGAACTGCAGAATATTCTGAAAGCAGCTGGAAGATGGAAAAGGCAACTGCAAGGCAGTTTTAGAAAATGTAGCAGAAAGCATCCAGGAAGAAAAATAGCAAAACATCAAGATGCTCAATGATCCATTACCATCTACCTCTGCCAGTACACTAGGTCAACAGCTAAACTTTTGCTCCCAGTGTCCCCATCTCAGCCAAGTATCCTGGAAGATCGCTCCCATCTAAAGTTACTTTGGGTTAATGCAAATGTGCCTAACCGTCTGGAGAACCACGACTGGAAAGGACACCTGCAGCACATGGACATCTCCATGCAGAACAAAACCACGTGCAGCCGCACGGGCTCCTGACTGCAAAAGGAGAGTGGGTTCGGTCAACTATTTTTAGATCAAACATGACAGTGCCCTCATCTCCTGGAACAACCCTTTCGATAGAGAGAGGCTTGAACCCCAGTTTTTCCAGGTCTGACTAAGTGCTCCAGCAGTCAGCTGTGACACAGGCACCAAGCGCTATCACTGCTGGCTCATAAAACCAAGGGATACTCTTCCTCCATGGCAAGAAAATAACCTACATCCAGCAAACTCTTCCAGGCTGCTATTCCCAGGTTAACAGAAGCAGATGAGCAGCTCAACCTTGAGAGGTGGAATCTGGGGATAGGTCCTGCCTTCAAAACATCCAGCTGAGTCCCCTTCTCCCTCTGCCTTAGCACAGGGTGAGTTTGCCAGTGGACCTCACTTAACCTTGAGTGCATTTTCTCTCATGGGAACATTATTAGAGCTCCTAAGTTGTTTCTTGGTACTTCACTCCCAGATGCTACAGCAACGCAGCTTGAAACATGCATCACCTTTCGCAGATGGTGTTATTTACCCTGCAAGCTCCCAGCATACACGGATAAAAGGAACGGACCACGGGAGGAGGTCAGAGGTATCTGCTACAGCAAGGTAACAGCAGTCATTACAGACACCCTCAACTTCACCAGTATGTATTGACTTGAAGAAGTATTTAGGAGAAAAATCGCATCAAATGCAGTTAATTCTGTAGAACTCTAGTTCCCAGAAACAAAGGTAGGGCTGTGAAATCTGTCTGAACACGAGTGGCTTTAGGAATCCCTCCTTGCCTGGAGATATCCCCTTTGATAAAGGCAGTGACCTGGGTCACAAGCGTGAGGAAAGATGGATGTCGTTTGGCTGGAGTATTGCAACCTCCTGCAGATAAAACCCCCAGGGAGAGACTCCAGAAAGAAACAGAATGGCAAGCTGCCAAGTTTGGGGTGGATTTGGGTCCTTTTTCATAGTCAATGACTTCAAACTGCTCAATCTTAAAGGAGCACGAAAGAGATGTTGTTTTCTTAAAATAAATTAAAAAAAATCACAAAGGAAGACAAGAAGAATGACTCCAATGGTTTGAAAAAAAAAAATTAAAAAATAAAAATAAAAATCAATCTCCGAACCCAACTTTATTTCCCTTTTAAATTAACAGCAGTGCTATTATTTCTGCCAGTGAAAGGTTTCAGGTTAATGGCACAGAGACCAAGTCCCTCTGTGATGAGAAAGACAGATTTTGCAAAGCAGTCTCTTACCTTCAGGAAAATAAAATCACAGACTGTAACGTCTTGCCCACAGGCCACCAAAAGAGAACGAGGGTACCTGTCTTTCTGCCAGCCCACACAGCAACTCGAGGCAACACCTTCCATATTTCATTAACGCTGCGCTGAGCCAAGTGATCACCCTTCCAATGCTAGCCACAAAGCCGTGACTGAAACACTGCCATACTTGCAAAATAACCTTCTTCTCTCCATCACTTTCTTCCCCCAAAGGTGAGAAAGAATTTGGTTCAAAAATAAGATCAGCTTAGCATGCTGATGGATAAACAGTTGATGCAGGGCAAAGTAGGGATGCAGAGTCAAAAGACCATTCAGTTAAGACTCTTTAGGTAAAAGGAATATGTGGGAAAACACGGACATCTATGATTAATAGCCCTGAACTGTTGCCTCCAGGCCCAAGCAGACTCCCACAGATCCATCCTGAGTGTGACCTGTGCCGAAAACACAGCATGGACACCCTCAGCTCGCCTGTCTGCAGAGTCAGCATCGTTACGGCTGATTTATTAACACAATCTCACAGCCACGCCACGTCCTAAATCAGTCCAGGTGTCTAATCCTGCAGCAGGGTTTATTTGCAAAGAGAATAATGATGGTCTGAGGAGAGCAAGGGGTGGATTTCCTACTCTGAACCATTGTGAGCAACACAAACTCCTGCAGAAGTGGGTACACTTGAAGAGATTCGTTACTAGTAGCCCACATCTTTTGACAGAGCATGTCTGAGTCGGTGTCCAAATCAATCAGCTCAGAGATGAAAATTTGAGTGTCAAGACACTATTACAGGTATTATATACATACTAATCCAGGCAGCTTGAAGGAGATCTCTACAGACTGCCAACAAAATCCGTCCAAGTAACAGGATCCCGTTGGTGCTGAAAATGACACGATTTATCTTTATGGATACATCTTCAAGACATATCACTTTGGTGCACAGAGCCAGGCAAGTTATTAGATTGGGCTGTTAATCACCAATCGAGCTGCATCATTGCTTTAGCTCCACGTTCTCTGTAGCACTTACATTACCAACACTTGTTCAGATCATTGCTTTAGCTCCACGTTCTCTGTAGCATTTACTTTACCAACACTTGTTCAAAGCACGTTTAGTGCATCTGTTTGGTGCTGGACTCTGCTATTGAAACAGCCAAGGTCATTTCTAATAATCTTTTATGACATAGGAAGACATGACAAAAATCAACAATAAAATTAAGTGCACAATTTAAAAAAAAAAAATCAAAGTTAAGTAGGAGAACAGAAAGGACGAGGAAAAATGCCATTCACCATTTGTGTTACATGCAAACATCTAGGGAAGAACTGCTATGATGATTTTATTGTTTGGGTGAAATTGGTGGTATAGTGAAGAAAATATTGACTTGATTTTTCATTTATTTGGGCAGTTTAGTGTCAGTCAGACCATCCATTTAAAACACTGTGCTTGCTGTCCTCAGTCACCATGGCCTGTACTGCCTGAATAAGCAACTACTGATAGCGACCCCGAACCCCTTCCACAGCGAAGGGGTTTAGCTCTGATACAGAAAAGAAGGAGGTATGGAATAACACACCGGGGGTTCGTCCTCTAAACTATGCAAGTCTCCATGTAATGCCACCACACGAACATGAAGACAAGATGAAAGACGGGGAATTTCTCTACAGCAGAGTATTCCCTCCGGTACCATCCAGTCTCTACAAGTACTGATGTTACTATTAGAGATTCTTCAGAAAATGTGGCAACTACTACAATCAATTCCTATAAAACACATCCGAATTGATGGGAATGTCTTGCTCTGGCTTCATCCTAAAGCCTACTCTGTTCTTCGCTACACTGTTAGAGAACTCAACCAGATGATTTTATTACCAGCTGCTTGAGTGATTGATAGTATTTCCTGCTAATTACTCACGTAGCAGTAACAATAAACTTGTAGTGCTTGGGAGAAATAACAGGCAGCCTGAATGTATTCAGTGACTAACAAAAGTTCAGCTATTTTTTTGGCATCAGAGAGGTGAAGAGAGTCACAGTTCCTGGAAGATAAAGTACATAGGATGACACATTATTTGAAACAAGCTCCTATCACCGCAGTTATTTTCACAAAGAGCCTTGATGTGTTTTAAAGGAAAAAAAATAAATCAAGTTTGAACACTAACATCCAAAGGTACAGGAGAGCAGAAGGATGGTGTTTTCCTGGTACTTGAGCCTCCTCTACAGTACAGTAAAACCCTTGAAGGGACCGAGTTCAGAGTGTGTTTCAGAATGCTCCATTTTCCTGTCAGCTGCAAAACACCCTCGCCAGTCTTTAAATATTTCACAACTTCAGTACTTGGAGCTACTGTAATGATCGAGGCACTTTTTAAAGTGGCTTTTTTTTTTTTTTACCATTAGAGAACAGAAACTATTATAACCGTTATCTTCCTGAAAAACAACCCCCTGCAACCACAACTACCAGCCAGATGAAACTTTTGCAATGCTTGGAAGAAACACTTTGAAACAAAGATAGAAACAGCGTGATTCCGCGTCCTGCAGCTGAACTGCCACTTGATGGCAGTGCACAGCATCCATCTCCGCGCGGAACAATTAATCACAGCTTTATTCCGTTTCCCACTCACGCACGCTACGGCGTTGCTGTATGGAGCAAGGCAGAGGCCGAGCGTTGGCGGGGACCCGGCATGCAGCACGTCCCGCAGAAGCAGACGGGAGGCACCGCAGGAAGAGCGCAGGGAATTCGGGAGGCTCTTCGGAAACATCGCGCCTTCGTTAAACCGACGCCTTCGTACAAGTCCTCTCGCACTCCCTTTGCTGTCAGAACTGCCTCTAGTCTAACCAAATGAGTGCCAGCACTTCGGTACACAAAACAAAGCGAGGACATGTTATCGTGAAGAACGAGATGGGAAATTTCTTCAGTCATTCTAAAGGTAACATCAGAATATTTATGAACTCTCTACATAAATATATTCCACAGAGGAAGAGTAGTTGAAGAGTATTTTCATCCTCTTAAACATCAAGTCCTGATCTCCATCGCTCACTCCTCGTGAGAGAAGGGGAGGAGACCCTGTCAGCCAACGCTGGGGATGGGACACAACCGCTTAGCATCTTTCCAAATATTAACCATCTCACCAGCTATCACAAGAAATAGAGAATCATTTCATCCGTTTTTAATAAAACTCCCAGTGCGACAACGTAAGGATTCCTTCTGCAGTTTCACAAAACAGACTGAAGCAATCTAATAGCTCCCTAAAAGAGGAAATCGTTGTCTCCTCTGCTTTCCCACCCCTTCCCTGTACCAGCTCCAGCATCCTTCTTCTGGAAGTCGTATTATTTAAAGTTCACAGGTAATGCTGCAAAGCAGCATTGACTTAAGGGCAGAATTTCAGACAAATGCTCCAGACTTTGCTTAAGATAGACCATTTATGGTTTACCAGCTGATTCATACCCACAAAACAGGATCATAAAAGAAAAGATCAAATAGATAATTATGAGAGGAGGACTTGCAACCCGTATCTCCAGCACTTTTAGTTTCTGACAATATGGAGGAAGGGTTGAGAAAGCACCTCTGAGCTGCAATTTAATCTATGTCTCATCCCAAAAGAAGGTGACGCTGACAGTCAGGCAGCCTCTTCCGACTTCCTCAGCCAAAGCTGCCTTCAGCAAATGCACAGAAGTGACCATTTCACCACAAGTCCTACATTAGCATCGCACAGACCTCACTGCGAAGTCCTCACTTAAGGGGAGCAAGCCAAGTGAACAGCTTTGTGATAACCAAACTGTGCAACCTTAAGTCTTCATTTAGGCACCCAGGGATTGAGAAGCATCAGGCAGCTTGCTAGAGGATGACACAGAGCTCAAGTGGCAGCTGCGAGACACCCATTTCAACAGAAAAGATGGCTTCTTGCATGATGTAGACCAGAATTTGGGAAGTGGAGGATGAACAGAACCCGGATCAAGGACCTAAGTAACAAAAACTTAAAAGATGAGGTCAAGTACAGTTTAGTGAGGAAGTTATTTTGCCTGCAGAATGAAAGCAGAATCAGACGAGTTGCAATGTGCTCCTCTCAAAAAAAAATCAGTTTATTCAGGCGCCCCAACCAAGTTTCTTAAAACTAACCAAGAAGCTGGTTCTTCCACAAGCAACAAAAGTAAATATTATATTTGTAAAAGATGCTCAGAGGCCTTATACTCATTCGTAATTCAAAGACATTTTGAAGGTGGGGCAGAAAACTACTTTGTCATTAAGAAGAAATCAAGTATCCAACAAATAAAAGACAAAAGGTTTATCAGATCCTCTCACCACAGAGCTGAACTAAACATCAAGGCTGGTTCTCCTCTTGCCTAAGGACCTCGAGAGAACAGGGCTTCCGTATATTGATTTTCGTGAGAAATTCCCACATCAAAAGTATGCGAGGTATGTTCTACTTTTTCTGCTGGACTGATCTCAGCTATTCAGGCATCCCAGTGGCCTTTGTCACCATAGATGCCACTAAGCAAACAAATTCAGCGTTAGTAGAAAAGTAACTAAACCACAGCTGCCAGCCTCTTGACAAGACTTTTCTGTAGGATTATAAAGGTATTTTGTTTTGTCCTTTTGTCCCTTTGGTAGAGATTTCTGAAAGTACATTAATTACCTAGCACACAATAGTGCATAAGTCACACCTGAGATGGTTTCAGCCGTGGTGCCAACGCGGCTGCCGGGCAGGCACAGCTGCGCAACACTGCCCTGTGCTCACCAACCCGGGAAACCACAGCACTTGGGACAGACACGGCTGCCACAAGCCTCAAGCTCTCTGTATTGTGAACTTTTTTTAAAAATCTTTTAATATTTATCCAAAAGAGGGTTTTTTCTTAAAACACGAACATCAGAGGTTATCACAATTGTCCTTCTCAGGAATATAAAACGCACGTCAATAGTGCATCACTCTGCGTAAAACAGGTAAGTGGAAGAAAAGTATTATAAGCATTATCCTTTTTTTCCCTTTTTAGACTAAAGCAGGACTGGGAAATGTACAGGATTAGTTCATTCATTAACAGAAAAGAGGACCTACTGTACCCAAAACCCAGGTTATATTAAGAGAGGGTCAATGCATTCTTTCTGAGGCTTTTGAAGTTCATACTTCATTAAGTCGCATGACATTTTGGCTTGGAAGTTGGAGCTCTCATCTCTATCAAAATGCTCCTTGAGAAACTCTGCAGGTTACACAGCTCATAAGTAGCAGTTTATACAAGAGACTCCATCCACAGACCTGATTAAAGACCAAAGTCAACGAGAGCATTTTTTATCAATTAAGTGTTTGCTTTCCCTTGCAATCACCAGTTATGACACATTTGGGTTTGTCACTCCAAATAACGTGGGCACACCTTAGACAAACCATGCACAGGAGGAGTGCTGTGATTTAAAACAAGTTTGTTCCTTTTAATCAAAAAGGAAAAAAGGGAAAAAGGAAAAAAAGTTTGCAGTGATACATCGTCCTTCTCCAGCTGCTAATCTTTTCCCTTCACACCCACTGATCACTATCACCATGAAAAAACACTCCCATCTTAAAGGCAGATCTAAGGTTGTAGCCTTGGTAGTAATCGAGAGAAGATGACACTTAATGCTTCTCAACTCCTCCCCTGCACGTCACCCTGGTCCTGTTCCAACACGTTCATACCCAATAGTGCTGTCAGGTTATTCTAAAAAAACCATTTATTTCAGAGTGGCAGGAGATGCGAGTGGGTTAAAACAACGATCAATAACGTTACAAAGATCCTATAACTAGCTGAGGCTGAAATCAGAAGCCCTGCAGGTCACTTTTGAAGCAAGATTTTTCAGGACATTGTATACAGCTGAAGACTTGACCTTGATCATTTACTCACGTGCATGCTGTATTTATTAAAGTTGGGTTAGAAATAAGGACACAGCTTGTGATCCTTGATCCTTTTGTAATTAAATCTCCTTGCTGAATACTCTGCTGGATTCTCAATTAATGATAATGTTTATTAAAAGATCAACACTTCACCTTTACAAAGCCTTTTCCCATTTTCATTCTCTTGCCTGGATGTTAGCAACAGTTGAGTTTAAGTTAAGTGACTAATTCAAATTATTTCATTTATAAACAGAGAACTTAATGAATCAAAACAATAAGAAAGGTCACTGAACAATAAACCGCCATGTTTAGAGTGATGTTAATCCTTTTTTTCCTAACTGCATACTCCTTGATGATCTGGACATTCCAATAACATATTGACAACAGATAGGAAGGATCTTACAATACTCAAGTTGAAATTTTGACTTTTGTTGGTAGAGAGATACAACTTTTATAAAAAGGTGATTACCAGCAAGGTCATGGCAAGCACTTAACAAAAACAAACAAAACTGAAGCTCCTGGCTTCCCACCTTCCATCAACCAAAGGCTTCTGCAATCCTCCCATTCCACCCCACCCCTGCCAGCAAGTGGAACAATTTGGTCCTTCAGCTTTGACATCCTGGGCTTCCCGAGCACAAAGCCTCAGGCAGATCAGAAATAAGATTTGAAACACTGTCCTTCATCCACAATGCTGTGCCCGACGAGTTCCCATATCGACGGGATAGCACTGAAATACAACAGGGACATGGGTAAAGCCAGTTTCAGATTTAATCTGCTATCTGTGCATCAACAGGGATGCTCCCGACCACAGTCTGAGGCAGGCAACCAAAGGACTGTCCAGTCACATGGACTTTTTTTGCACATCCTGCAGTAAAACGCACCTGAAGAAATCAGTGTATCTTAAGGATCTTGTATTACAGAGCCCCTTTTCCACAGAATATCCGCAGCTGCACCAAAGACTATGTATAACGTGATCCACAGAATTACACACTGGGAAGGAAACAACCCGTGATGACAGCAGCAACAGAAATCAGATAGGCTCAACCCAGCCAAGTGACAGTTGCTTCTTGTAACCTTGACCTGTGCTAGTGAAAAAGCTGGGAGATAAAGCTCATTCTTTGTTAAAACTCTCTCTATGCTATACTGATTATGACTCTGCAGACCACCTCTGCACTAAAGTCAAGCTTGCGTCACAAAGTTTAAGACCACTGCTGTAATATGGAGAACATGAACTTTCATCATCACAGCTACGTGAACCACAGAAAACCTTGTCAGTGACTCCCCCACTCAACTACCCTACTTCTTCAGAATATCACTGCTGGCAGCAAGACAGCAGCTCATGTTAGTACCCCATGGAGACACCTGATGAAGAAGGAAGCAGGTTTGAACACCTTTATTTCAAATTCACAACACAATATTAGGCCACAGATTCTGCAAAGTAACGCTGCCTTTTATAAAGGCAATTACATGTTGACAGATGCTTGACCTACAGCCTGTTTCAGCACCAGCATTAACGGTATTGCACCTTCCCCGTGCTATATTGAGGAACATTTCACTGTCCTATCTCTCCTGGCATGAGCTACTCTGCCCCATGACTGCGCTGCTGTGAGCAGCACCAAGCTCTGGGGCCAGGAGAGCTCGTTAAAGAGTGTTAAGGGAAGGTAACAAACAGCTCTGAGATACGATGCTCCTGGGGGGACCCACAGGACGAGGCAGGGACTGTCTGTTTGCAGAGGAAAGCCTGAGCTCGTGTCCCAGCCCAAACCTGCAGCAATACAACACTTAGCTCTGGTTCCTGGCAACCTCATCAACCAGCAAACAATCAGGAAATGCTTAAATAGAACAAACTTACTAAATCACAAAAACGCCACGCTCATCATTACTACAGGACATGTTTTCTACCTTAT